GGGTCTCAAACCCGCGGGCTCAGGCAATCCACTCACCTCGGCCTCCCAAAGGCACGGGATTACAGGCTGAGCCACCGAGCCCAGCCATACTGTTGACTTTTATTCCGCTCTTCATTATTTCCTTCCTTCTAATTATTTTGGGCTTAGCTTTTTCTTCTTTTTCTAGTTTCTTAGATTTTAAACCTTTACTCTTTCCTAGTATTAACATTTAAAATGACAAATTTCCCACTCAGCAATGCTTTAGCTGCATTCTACAAATGATATGCTGCATTTAGTTTTCATTTAGTTCAAGATGTTTTCTAATTGCCCTTGTGATTTTTCTCTTTGAACCATAGTAATTTAGAAGTATGTTATATTATCTCCCTATATTTAAGGATTTCCTAGATTTCTTTCTGTTATTGATGTCTAATTAAATGTTGTTGCGGTTGGAGCACATGCTCTGTGTGATTTGGGTCCTGTTAAGTTAATTGAGACTTACTTAATGGCCCAGCACATGGTCTGTCCTGGTGAATGTTCTATGTGCACTTTAAAGAAAGTGTATTCTGCTGTTTTGGGTGGAGTAGTCTACAAATGCTAACTAGATCTTGGTGTTAATGGTATTGTCTAGTTCTTCTACATTTTTGATGATTTTGTTTAGCAGTCTATTATTGAGAGAGGGATTTCAAAGTATCCAACCATAGTTGTGGATTTGTCTATTTCTCCTTTTGGCATTTCACATATTTTGAGGCTCTGTTATTAGGTAAATATATATTTATAATTATTGTATCTTTCTACTGTATTGCCCCTTTTATCATTATGGAATATATCCCCTTTCTCTGGGAGTATTTCTTGTCTTAAAGTCTACCTGCTTGATATTAACATACATCACTCCAGCTCTTTCTGTTACTATTTACATAGTATATCTTTTTGTATTCTTATTCATTTACTTTCAAACTATTATGTCTTTGAATTTAAAGTGTCTTTTGTAGACAGCACAGATTTTTATGTTACTTCTGTGCTTTTAGTGTTAGTTCATTAATGTTTAATTATTAAATATGGGTAGATGTGGGTCTCCAATGTATTCTTTGCTTTCTATCTCTGTCTCATTTTAATTCCTCTATTCTTCCTTCTATCTTGTCTTGTATTAAACAAATATGTTTTAGTATGCTACTTTAAAGCCTCAATTCGCTTTTTTAGTGGTATTATTTATTCTTTATACATATATATTTGAGTCGGAATCTCACTCTGTTGCCCAGGCTGGAATGTAGTGGCATGCTCCTGGTCACTGCAGCCTCAACCTACTGGGTTCAGGCAATCCTTCAACCTCAGCCTTCCAAGTAACTGGAACTACAGGCAGACATCACCATACCCAGCTAATTTTTCTTGATTTATTATAGAAATGATGTCTTGCCAACTTGCCCAGGCTGGTCTCAAAACTGTAGGCTCAGGCAATCCTCTCACCTCCATTTCCCAAGTGCTAGGATCACAGGCAGGAGCCACTGCGCCCAGTTTCCTTTTATATATATATATATATATATATATATTTTTTTTTTTTTTTTTTTTTTTTGAGTTGGAGTTTCACTGTCGCCCAGACTGGAGTGCAGTGGCCGCTCCCGGCCACCGCAGCCTCTACTTGCTGGGCTCTGGCGATCCTTCCACCTCAGCCTTCTAAGTAGCTAGAATCACAGACATGCACTACCACGCCCGGCTGATTTTTTGATTTATTGTAGAGATGAGGTCTCACTGCCCAGGCGGGTCTCAAACCCGCAGGCTCAGGCAATTCACTCACCTCAGCCTCCCAAAGGCGTGAGATTACAGGCTGAGCCACCGAGCCCGGCTTCTTTTTATATTTTTATATAAAATATTCTTTTAGTAATAGCTCTAGAGTACTATTTCTCAGTGTGTTCCCCAGACCAGCAACATGAGCATCACATGATAAGTTGTAAAAAAAAAAAAAATGTAAATTCTTGAGCTCTACCCAAAACCTAATGGATCAGAAACTCTAGCAATAGGGACCACTAATTGTGTTTTAACAAGATATCCAGGTGAATCTGATACACACAAAAATTGTGAACCAGTGCCTCTAGAAATTACATTTTTAAATTATATCAATCTGGTTCAAGTTAACACTGACTTATTCCCAGTAAAATATACGAAACTTGTACTACTACAGCTCCGTTCTCTCCCCCTCCTTCATGTTCCTCTTATATATAAATTCCATCTATATATGTTATAAACCTAATGATACAGTGGCATAAAGTTTGGTTCATATAGTTATAGCTTTTAAAGAAATTAAAAACAGCTGGGCTCAGTCTGTAATCCCAGCACTTTGGGAGACTGAAGCGAGTGGGTTGCCTGAGCCTGCAGGTTCGAGACCCTCCTGGGTAGCCTGGCGAGACCTCGTCTCTGAAATAAATAAAAAATTAGCCAGGCATGGTAGCACACGCCTGTAGTTCCGGCTACTTGGAATGCTGAGGCGAAATGATCGCCTGAGCCCAGCAGGCCGAGGTTGTAGTGGCTGGGAGTGTACCACTGCACTCTAGTCTGAGCGACAGAGTGAGACTCCAACTCAAAAAAAAATAAAGAAAGAAATAAAGAAATTAAAAACATATGCTAAGTTCCCTATCTTCTCACTGATGTGGGCACTGTAAAAAGAAAAAAATAGCCGGGCTCGGTGGCTCAGCCTGTAATCCCATGCCTTTGAGAGGCTGAGGTGAGTGGATTGCCTGAGCCCGTGAGTTCGAGACCCACCTGGGCAGGCGAGACCTCATCTCTACAATAAAATTTTAAAAAAATCAGCCGGGCGTGGTAGCGCGCGCTTGTAATTCCAGCTACTCAGAAAGCTGAGGCGGAAGGATCGCCAGAGCCCAGCAGGTTGAAGCTGTGGTGGCTGGGAGCGGCCACTGCACTCCAGTCTGGGCGACAGAGTGAAACTCCAACTCAAAAAAAAAAAGAAAAAGAAAAAAATATATGTTAAATAATTTTAAATACAACTTTCTCTCATTTCTTTCTTTCTTTTTTTTTTTTTGAGTTGGAGTCTCACTCTGTCACCTAGGCTGGAGTGCAGTGGCATGCTCCCAGCCACTGCAGCCTTGACCTGCTGGGTGCCAGCGATCCTTCCACCTTGGCCTTCCAAGTAGCCAGAACTACAGGTACGCACTCTCATGCTCAGCTAATTTTTTGATTTATTGTAGAGACGAGGGCTCACCATGTTGCCCAGGCTGGTCTCAAACCCACAGGCTCAGGCAATCTTCTTACCTTTTCCTCCCAAAGTGCTGGGATTATAGGCTTGAGAAACCATGCCTGGCCTCTCTCATTTCTCTCAATGCATTTAGATTTTTTAAACTTTCTCAGAAGAGACATCCACTTCTAATTCTGCAGGTTTAAAAACTCTGAACATAGCCGGGCTCGATGGCTCCATCTATAATCCCGTGCTTTGGGAGGCTGAGGTAAGTGAACTGCCAGAACCCGCGGGTTTGAGACCCACCTGGGCAACTTGGCGAGATCTCATCTCTACAATAAATCAAAAAAATTAGTTGGGCGTGGTAGCGTCCGCCTGTAGTTCCAGCAACTTGGAAGGCTGAGGCGAAAGAGCCCAGCAGGTCGAGGCTGCAGTGGCCGGGAGTGGCCACTGTACTCCAGTCTGGGCGACAGAGTGAGACTCCAACTCAAAAAAAAAAACCAAAAAAAAACAAACTTTGAACATTTTACTCTTTATTCAACCTAGGGTTAACTTTGGCAGATGATGTAATATTTGTGGGAAAGACCAAGGGAGGTAATATTATTATTATCTTCTGAATAGGTATCTCACTCTGTTGCCCAGACTGGAGTGCAGTGGCACGCTCACAGCCACCGCAGCCTCAACCTGCTAGACTCGGGCAATCCTTCCACCTCAGACTTCCAAGTAGCTGAAGCCATAGGCATGCACTACCATGCCTGACTAATTTTTTGATTTAGTGTAGAGATGAGGTCTCGTCAAGTTGACCAGGCTGGTCTCAGACCTCTGGATGCATGCAATCCTCTCACCTCCACCTCCCAAAGTGCTGGGATTATAGGCGTTAGCCACTGCATCCGGCCTTCCACTAGTATTTTTTCATTTCCTATTATTAATAATATACCTTCCAGCCAAGACAGAAAATGTGATTTATGTCTAAGTCCTATACCTACCCAAGGTAATACCAATGTGCTAAAAATGGTTCAGAAGCAAAAAAGAGAAAGTCAAGTGGGTTGAATGAAGCATCTACTACAGTGTCTCCATTCTACACAGTAAATATAATAAAAGGCAGCTCAATACTAACACTTTTGGTTTCTCTGGATCCACTTACCTTAACATTATAGCAGCGAATTGTGTGATCACTGGAACCAGTATAAAGGGCAGCATTCTTCCCAGAAGTTTGTGTAACTAGGAGGCAATTCACTTTAGAGGTATGGCCCTCAAAGATACCAATACATTTTCGACTCTAAAGTCAAGCACAGACAAGACTGTTACTTATGGGACACAGAACAATTAGACAATTTATATCCTTAACAACAACAACAAAAAGATACTAAATTCAGTTCACTACTGTATCTTCCATGCCTACAATAGTGACTGGTACACAAAAGGTATTCAGTAAACACTTGTTCACTGAATGCCCAGCAAACAGTTACATATGAGATCCCTGCAACTTTATGTTAGCTGAGCCATACAAAAAATACTTATGTCAATCCACTGTAAGATAGACCAGAATTTTAATTAATGCTTAGGGCAAGGCTCTCTAGCATACGGACAAAGGACTCTGTTACCCAGGATGGAGTACAGTGGCATGCTCATGTCTACCGCAACCTTGACCCGCTGGCGAACCGTCTGCCTCAGTCTTCCAAGTAGCTAGAACAATAGGTGCGTGCCACCATGTCCAGCTAGTTTTTTGATTTACAGTAGAGACAAGATCTCAGCAAGTTGCCCAGGATGGTCTCAAACCCCTGGGCTCAGGCAATCCTCTCTCCTTAGCCTCCCAAAGGGCTGGGATTACAGGCATGAACCACTGCACCCAGCTCATCTCCTAATTTTTAAATTTTCACTGACTTCAGCAATTTTAAATACTTTCATGGTGCTTATGACAATATAATGTCCCTAAAGTTTCTTGGCTATCATTGTTGATAAAAAGAATTAGTTTGACAAGTACCAAATTCAAAACTCAAAAGTTCATTCTTTTGAGAGAAATGAGAATCAGATAACACCAAGTGTGAGGTAGTGGGAAAGTGTTGCCCTCCTTAATAACTTGTGTTCTGTAACTAATCAGTTGTCAGGAAAAATGCCCCCTCTAATATCTCTTCAATATTCATTCCATCCCTTCTCCTTATGTAGCTGCTATGCAACTGACCCAATCACCAGCTCCGAAGGTGGGACTGACTGGACCAAGCCTATTGATATAATCCTATCCCCCTTTGCCACAGGAGATTGTTCAGGGAATAAAACACCTTTTCTAGTGACGGGAGGAAAAAGAAACTCCAGACATCTATCTTGTGAGCAGGAAGGAAACTACCTTTTAGTAGGTGATATCAGAGAAGGCAGAGCAGAGAAACCAAAAAAAATTAAAAGTCCCAGTAACCCTGCTGAGCTGCTGAATCAACTGCATCTAAAGTCAATCTAAAAGCCCACCCCCTGCCATTGCCTTGCTAGACTCTGGTGTGGTCATGTGCTCACTGAGCTATGGCTGTTGCCATGATTCCTGGCTTTGGCCCCTCTCCCCCAACCTGGGGAGGTGAATCTTCTCTTTCCCTTCTCTTTCTCACTCTAATTTATTTTTAAAAAACTACATTTTTAATGCAGAAGATTGAAACAGGACACCAACCTATCACCATACACAAAAATTAACTCTAAATGGATCAAAGACCTAAACATAAAACCTCAAACTATAAGAATCTTAGAAAACGCAGGAGACACCCTTATGGAAATTGGAACTGGCAACCAATTCCTCATCAGAACCCTAAGTGCCCAAATCATAAAAAATAAGATAGACAATTGGGACCTCATCAAACTGATGAGCTTCTGCAAAGCAAAAGAAACTGTCAAGAGAGCAGGGAGACAGCCCAGAGAATGGGAAAAATTATTTGCCAACTGTATATCCAACAGAGGTCTAACATCTAGGATCTACAAGGAACTCAAATGTGCCGAAAGGAAAAAAACAGCCCCATTCAAAAGTGGGCAAAACACATGCCTAGACACTTCTCAAAAGAAAATATATGGGAGGCCAACAGACACATGAAAGAGTACTCTGCCTCACTAATCATCAGAGAAATGTAAATCAAAATCACACTGAGGCCGGGCTTGGTGGCTCAGCCTGTAATCCCGCGCCTTTGGGAGGCTGAGGTGAGTGGATTGCCTGAGCCCACGGATTCGAGACCCGCCTGGGCAACTTGGCGAGACATCATCTCTACAATAAATCAAAAAATTAGCCGGGCATGGTAGCACATGCCTGTAGTTCCAGCTACCTGGAAGGCTGAGGCGGAAGGATCGCCGGAGCCCAGCAGGTCAAGGTTGCGGTGGCCGGGAGCGGCTACTGCACTCCAGCCTGGGCGACCGAGTGAGACTCAAACTAAAAAACAAAACAAAACCAAAAAACCACATTGAGGTACTATCTATCACCAGTAAGAATGGCCATCATTAATAAAATAAACAACAACAGATGCTGGCGAGGACGTGGAGAAAAAGGAACGCTTCTACACTACTGGTGGGAATGCCAACTTTGGAAGATAGTGTGGCGATTTCTGAAAGAACTAGAAATTGACCTTCCATATGACCCAGCAATTCCCCTATTGGGAATATATCCAGAGGAACTCAAATCATTCTACAAAAAAGATACCTGCTCATTCATGTTTGGTGCAGCTCTATTCACAATAACAAAAACATGGAACCAACCATGCTGCCCATTGAAGTTGGACTGGATTAAAAAAATGTGGTACATATACACAATGGAATATAGAAGGACAAACATATGGACTTCGCAGCAACTTGGATGGATTTAGAGTCTATCAAACTCAGTGAGCTATCACAGAAACAAAGAACAGAGTACCATATGTTCTCACTCATAAGCAGATTTTGAACAATTAT